GCCACCCGGGCACCCCAGGTGTTGGTTGGTTGGTTGGTTTCTTTCCTTCTGACTTTCTTCGATGACGTTCTTCTGCTCCAGACAATGAAAATTGTTTAATGTTAGCTTATCCTGGAAAGGTTGCAACCTGGCAGCTGCAGCCTGAATCTAGTCCACAGATCTCTTTTAGATAGCTGGCACACTTTTCAATAAGACCTATTTCAGTTAGTTACAACAGTTGAAGAAATGGAAGGTTTCATATAGATGTTTGGAGTTGGGGCCAATCTTGAAAAAAACCCGGAAAATCTGGCCGTCTTGGCCCAACATTCCCCTGCAGCACAGTGAGCTGGGTCTGAGTACAGGCCGTCCCCTTTGAAAGAGATGTGTTCTTCCTCAGTTTGCCCGTCTCCACTCTCCTTGCTGTTATGTTACCTGCCTTCATCGGCATTTGAGTTGGTAACTCCAGCCATTAAAGAACATGTTGTTTAGAGGCGCCTGGGTGGCTCAGTTGAACTGTCGAGCATCCGACTCTTGGTTTTGGCTCCGGGCATGAACTCAGGATCGTGAGATTGGGCTCGGAGCTCAGCGCACAGTCGGCTTGGGATTCTCTCTCTCTCCCTCTCCTCTGCCCCTCCTTCCACTCATGTTCTCTTTCTCTCGCTCTCTCTCAAATGAACAAATAAATCTTTGAAAATTTTAAAAAGAAAACAGAACATGTTTTTTTAGGGGTGCCTGGCTGGCTCGGTCAGAAAAGCATGGGACTCTTTGATATCAGGGTTGTGAGTTCAAGCCCCACGTTGGCTGGAGAGAACACTTAAATAAATAAAACTTAAAAAAAAAAAACAGTCCCAAAGCATGTTTTTCATTACGTGAAATGTCAGGCATACATAAAAGCAGAGAGAATCCCAACCTTATGTATTCATCTCTCAGTTTCAACAATTATTCAGAACCAGCCTTGTTTCATCAATACCCTCACCAATTCAACACACTTGCATATGCCCCTGGATTATTTTGATGCAAATCAAGACATCACATGGTTTTCATCCGGAGATATTCCAGTGTCTCTAAAAGAACGAGAATGTGTAATTTCTAATCATGCCTCTTTCCGTTATGCCACTTATGCCATAGGTTATACTGTGGTGATAGGATATTTTATGCAATAATAGTAGTGAATTCTTTTGAAGATTTTTATTTATTGGGACGCCTGGGTGGCTCAGCGGTTAGGTGTCTGCCTTCATGCTCAGGCCATGATCCCGGAGTCCTGGGATCGAGTCCCGCATCGGGCTCCCTGCATGGAGTCTCCTTCTCCCTCTGCCTCGCTTCCTGTGTCTCTCGTGCATAAATAAATAAATGAGAGAGAGGCAGAGACATAGGCAGAGGGAGAAGCAGGCTCCCTGCGGGGAGCCAGATGTGGGAATTGATTCCAGGTCCCCAGGACCACCACCTGAGCTAAAGGCAGATGCTCAACCACTGAGCCACCCAGGTGCTCCTAAAAATAAAATCTTAAAAAAAAAAAAAAGAAAAAAGTTATTTTCCAAACATGGCTAATTATTTCTCACCAAATAGTTGTTTGTTTGTTTGTTTGTTTGTTTGTTTTTTCAGATAGATTAGCCTGGGTGCTGTCTTCAGTCACTTGCATGCATCTTGCAAGCTCCTTTCTGAGGTGAGCAACCCACAAATATTCAGTATTTGGAGCTAGAGGAAATGAAATTCATCATCTTCAGTTCATGCATGCTTTTAAATACCTATTCCCAGTGGGGTGCCTGGGTGGCTCAGTCAGTTGAGCCTCTGACTCCTGATTTCAGCTCAGGTCATGATCTCAGAGTTGTGACATCAAGCCCTGCATCCGGCTCAGGGTGGAGTCCGCTTGAGATTCTTTTCATTTGCCCCTCCCTCTGCTCTCTCCCTCTCTGGCTCTCTCACTCTCTCTCAAATAAATAAATAAATCTTTAAAATAAATAAATAAATGATTACCTATTCCAGGGGCACCTAGGTGGCTGTCGGTAGAGCATGTGACTCTCGATCTCGGGGTTGGTGAGCTTGAGCTCCGTGTTGTGGGGTTGAGTTTACTTTTAAATACATACGTACAGGGCAGCCCCGGTGGCTTAGCGCAGCCTTCTGCCCAGGGCCTGATCCTGGGGTCGCGGGATCGAGTCCCACATCGGGCTCCCTGCATGGAGTCGGCTTTTCTCCCTCTGCCTGTGTCTCTGCCTCTCTCTCTGTCTCTGTGTCTCTCATGAATAAATAAATAAAATCTTAAAAAAAAAGAAGGAAAACCCTTTTAAAAAAATACAGACAGACAGAGAGACTTACCTATTCCACCACACTCTCTCCCGGTACATTGTTTTGTAATATTCAGATTGAGGCCTTGCTTTAGGGATGGTTTTTTTCTCCACACTAAGGGTTTTTAAAAATATTTTATTCATTTGTTAATGAGAGGCAGAGACACAGGCAGAGGGAGAAGCAGGCTCCCTGCAGGGAGCCCGATGTGGGACTCAATCTCGGGTCTCCAGGATCACGCCCTGAGCCAAAGGCAGACCCTTAACCGCTGAGCCACCCATGCATCGCAAAACCTCAGGATTCCTGGTAAATGATACCTTCTGCACAGTTTTTTTAAAATAAAAATTAATTATTATGAACAAATTATCGATAAAATTTTATTTTTATTATTTTTAAAGATTTTGTTTATTTATTCATGAGGCACACAGAGAGAGAGAGAGGCAGAGACTTAGTATGAGGGAGAAGCAGGCTCCCCCCAAGGAGCCTGATGTGGGACTCGATCCCAGGACCCCGGGATTATGACCTGTACCAAAGGTGGATGCTCAACCACTGAGCCACCCAGGGGTCCAAATTATCAAAATTTTAAAGAGAGACGGAATCCGATCCTTCACTTACACAACTGGCCACTCCTTATTCTTCTCACCATGATTTTAGTCAAACACTGTTTACAAAAACCTAGGTAGCATCAGGCTAGCATTTCCCTGCTTGATTTTTTTAAAAAGAATTATAAATAAATAAATAAATAAATAGATAGATAGATAGATAGATAGATAGATAGATAATTTTTAGGGGCAGCCCTGGTGGCGCAGTAGTTTAGCGGCGCCTGCAGCCCTGGGTGTGATCCTGGGGACCCGGGATCGAGTCCCACGTCGGGCTCCCTGCATGGAGCCTGCTTCTCCTTCTGCCTGTGTCTCTGCCTCTCTCTCTCTCTCTGAATAAATAAAATCTTTTAAAAAATAACTTTTTTAAGATTAATTTTTTAAGGGCAGCCTGGGTGGCTCAGCGGTTTGGCGCTTGCCTTCAGCTTGGGGTCTGATCCTGGAGTCCCGATATCAAGTCCCACATCGGGCTCCCTTATTGGAGCCTACTTCTCCCTCTGCGTGTGTCTGTGCCTTTCTGTGTCTCTCATGAATAAATGAAGTAAAATCTTTAGAAATAAATAAATAAAAAGAGAGATAGACCCACTGAGTTTATAGCCCCGCAACAAGGGCAGTACTGGAGACCATGGTCTTGGTGGTGATTTTGAACATGGAAAGGCCCTTAGCCCTTCACAGCATCTAGGAAATCCACAGGGCAGGACTCAGTCACTTGTATCTTTCTTTTTTAATATTTTACTTATTTATTCATGAGAGAGAGAGAGAGAGGCAGAGACACAGGCATAGGGAGAAACAGGCTCCATGCAGGGAGCCCGATGTGGGACTCGATCCCAGAAGGCGGCACTAAACCCCTGAGTCACTCGGGCGGCCCTACAGGTTTTATTTTTAAGTAATCTCTACACTCTTCTCACTGTAGCATTCCAGCTGGTCTCTCTTTACATCTCAGGCCGAATTCGTAAATTTTCAGGATGGTTTGAAGGTTATCTAGGTAATTTGGTGGGGACAGGCGATTTGGGGACCCTACTCTTCCGCCATCTTGCCCCTCCCCCAGTTGTTTGGAATTTTGATTGTCAAGTACTTGTAAGTTAAATCTCCAAGGTTCTGATCATGTTTGTTTGAATCAAGATCCAGGTTACATAAATCTAATTTTAATCAAAAAAAGTTTTTTTCCTAAAATAGTTCATGCTTTCCTCCTACTTAATTTGACCATCAACCCTACCATTTTGAAAGTTAGCTGGCATGTGTCGTTTATTGTGGAAAACTGTAGAAAGCAAGACTACATCCAGAACTATTAGATTACAGTAAAATGCTAAATCTACTGTACTACTTAAAGGTTGTACTTACAACTTTTCAGCCCAAACCAACATCTATAGGGGTGCTTGGCTGGCTCAGTCAGTAGAGCATGCAACTCTTGATCTTGGGGTTGTAAGTTTGAACCCTACAGTGGGTTATACCCACTTAAAAAATAATAAAATATCTTAAAAAACTAACATCTACAAAGACAACCTATCTCAGGTCAATGAAGTTGTTGGTAGCTAGTTTCTTCTTCCTTTTTTAAAGATTTTTTTAAGGTTTTATTTTTAAGTAATCTCTGCATCCGACCTGGGGCTCAAACTTAAAACCCCAAGATCAAGAGTTGCATGCTCCACCGACTAAACCAGCCAGGCGCCTCATTGGTAGCCAGCTTCTAAAGATTTTTTTAATTAAATCAAAGTTATTTCCTTATATTATAATAATTAATTCTTGTCTATGCCTCTGGGATATTTGAAATGTACATTAAGAGAAATTCTCTTTGGGGGATGCCTGGCTGGCTCAGTCGGTTTAAAGTGTCTCTGGGTAACAATAACATCCTCCTTTTTTTGTTTGTTTTTAAAAGATTTTATTTATTTATTCATGAAAGACACAGAGACAGGCAGAGGGAGAAGCGGGCTCCCTGCAGGGGAGCCTGATGTGGGACTCGATCCCAGGACCCTGGGATCATGCCCTGAGCTAAAGGCAGATGCTCAACCACTGAGCCATCCAGGTGCCCCTCACAACTGATCACTTTTAACACAGAACTCCATTAAAGGAGCCTCACATTGCTAAAGAGTCCTCAAAACCAAAGGTTGAACCGAGAAGAAAGTATGCTTTTTAAAAAGTGGGCCTGTACTCGCTTCAGTAGCATGTATACTAAAATTGGAACAATACAGATACGATTAGCATGGCTCCTGCAGGAGGATGACATGCAAATTCATGAAACATTCCTTATTTTAAAAAAAATGGGCCTGGCCTCTTCACCAACCCTTCCTTTTTTTTCCTACACTTGGCAGTTTCACACCAAGAAGACAGCATGAACAAAGCAAAGGTATGACTGTTTCTTCACAAGTGATTATTCTAGAATACTGCTCTGGAGACCATCTCCTTACTCATGCTTTGTTTTTTTTTTTTAAGATTTTATGTATTTATTCATGAGAGACAGAGAGAGGGAGAGAGAGAGAGAGAGAAAGAGAGAGAGAAGAGACACGGGCAGAGGGAGAAGCAGGCTCCACGCAGGGACCCCGATGCGAGACTCAATCCCGGGACTCCAGGATCACGCCCTGGGCTGAAGGTGGTGCTGAGCCACCCAGGGATCCCCCTCTTGCTTTGAACAGTAGTAAACCAATAGGTCCCTTTTCAGTGTTTAACAACGGAATCAGGGTCCTCTCAAGGATGTGGAAGGTGACAAAATGCTTATGAAGGTATGATAGTCAGCTTCTCAGCTGGGGAAAGATTGATAATATGCTTCTTTCCTAGGCTGGTGGGGGTGGGAGAAAGAAAAGGGAGAAGAGCCTCTTTCTGGCCCTGATGGAATCTCTTATTTTTCTTTTTATTATTATTATTATTTTTAAAAGGTTTTATTTATTTATTCATGAGAAACATACACAGAAAGAGAGGCAGAGACATAGGCAGAGAAAGAAGCAGGCTCTATGCAGGGAGCGCAATGTGGGACTCGATCCTGGGACTCCAGGATCACGCCCTGGGCCGAAGGCAGACACTCAACCGCTGAGCCACCTAGGTGTCCCTGCCAGAATGGCTTCTATTCCTCAATCTCCTCCACAAAAAGGATAGGTAGTTAATAGAATTTGAAACATACTGGATGAATGTTTGGTGGCCACCCTCCCATAAATCCCTGGGTAGCCTTTTAGGTTTTCCCTAGATTCCAGTGTTCAACTTGAACATGTCAGCATGAGTGGAGCTCCTTTCCCGAAACAACACTATTCTTTCACTAGGACTCATCACACCTCATCTTGCACATATTTGTGGTCCCAAAGGGGCAAGGTGGGGATGAAAATGGGGTGAGGAATGGAAGAGAAGATATATGGGTCAGTGCAAGCTTATCATGGGTACTTGGGGAGCTTCTGTGACATGCAGGGCCTATATAGTTATTCAGGGATGTCGCCACATAAAAGGAAGCCCCCTTGTCATTCTGTTTCGATGGCATTTCCTTAACAATTTACGTACATACCCTATTTGCCCCCATTTGGTACACAAAGACAAACGCATGGTGAATTCACTTCTTTATTGACAACGCAACAAACTATTAGAGGAGATATGGGTGGAAGGGGCAGCATAGGTGGCCTGAGTGTCAGTGACACCAAAAGAACCCATCTCCAAACTGGTTTCTGAACAAGGATGGCATTCTAGGGCCCATCCAACATGAGGATGAAAAGGTGGTCCAGGTTGGTAGGTGGTGTGTTTCTGAGCTTTGATGCCCTCTCATCTCTCCTATACTTGGCTCTCCTGTTCTTAAACCAAACCTACAAGCAGAGAGAAAAAGGGCGTAATTTAGCATATCGAACACTCAATGTCATAACAGAAAAAAAACCTACATGCAACCGTATATGCCTTCGAGATTTTTCGTGCAGCACCAAGAGAAGCTGTTTATTCAGGAAAGCTAACACCACATCCCCTCCCTTTAGCTCATCCTCAGTGAGCATCAGCTACATGCCAGGTTCTGGAATACGCTTATTGCTTTGTCTCTCTTCTCCTAATTTTAATATTCAAATTTTTTTCAGGTATTGCATGCAGGTCTAGCTTATGAGTTGCACCGGGTCCTTGCTGTTGATCCAATGCCTGGTAACAGGACAAAGAACGGTCTGTATCCTGACAGCTGATCATTAGCTCTCCAGTTAGCTTCTGCCCCTCCTCACTGGAGAGAATGTCACCTTGTTTTGGGGACAATCTGGGCATTGCAAATAATGGGCCCTATTTAAAGACATATTGAGGGGAATGGCTCCCTACTTGAAAAGCCTATCATCAGGATGAAGTAAATAATTAACAGGAGGAAATGCATTGGGTTTTTAGACAGATTTCCTTTAAGGATGTCTAAAAGATCATTTGTCCTATGAAACCTCTTGAGAGTTAAAAAGTAGTCTGGCAAGGAAGGCCTAGTCATGGGGTCCCGTGGAGTTTGTGGCTTGTCCAGCTGGGACATGAGAGCTGCTGAAGCCATGAACATTGCCTTGATTTTAGCCTGCAGTGTTAAGGAAAGTGGGGACCAACTTGACCCAAATTAACTAAAATGCTCACTGAGCTCACCGAAGCTCACTGAGCTTCATTCATTGTCGCTGTTGTCAATTTGGCATGCTCCAACCTGCCCCACCCTACAAACCTTCCTGGGCTCAGGACCAGGTCAGCTCACTCTGCTCTGGCTACAGTTCCAGGATCCTGGAGGAGCCGCTGTTGTCCAGCAGGGCAGGTTATCCTAGGCGTTGCTACTCAACCAGGAGGTCCCAATCCCATCCCTTATTCTTCCGGCAAGAAGGTGGAACAGGCATTTTAGGAAGATAGTCAACAATAGTGAGGGTAAGGGGTCATAAAATGGCTCCTTTCTACATATCTGCCAACTACTTTTGCAAACAAACACACAAACAAAACTGTCACACTTTACCATCTTCTTTTTTAAAAAAATTTTTACTTATTTATTCATGAGAGACAGAGAGAGAGAGAGAGAGAGAGAGAGAGAGAGAAGCACAGACACAGGCAGAAGGAGAAGCAGTCTCCATGCCATGCAGGGAGCCTGACACAGGACTCGATCCAAGTGTATCAGTGGTCAGATCTCCATAGACATCAGGTAAGTAAAGCCCATAGCTAGCTGTCGTATGGGGCCGTACCCTCAATATTGGTTTCACAGAACAGTTCTATTTGCAAAACAAAGGAGGAAAATCATGTATTAAGTATCTTGGGGAAAATTCACGCTGTATGGTTTGGAAATATATGAGAACACTTAGTTTTCTCCCTGATTTATTTCTTGTGGCTTATGTTCCTTTCAGAATGCCGTGGAGAGAACACTACATAAACCCAGAAAGGAGAAAAAGCTAGTCACCAAACCTTGCATTTTTCTTTTCCTCTGCACATGCCTTATCAGCCTGAACAAGTGCTCCCAACCTCTTTCCAGTTTTTCCAATCTGAGCTAAGCCTGGGGCCCCAGTCTCTGGGGTTGGGATGCCATTACTCAACGGTCAGCTTTGTTGGGCTGCTTTTCAGATATTCCCACCAGAGCAGCGACTCCCCTTTTTAAAATATATTTTTAAGCTTATTTTTTTTAGTAATCGCTAAGCCCAGTGTGGGGCTCAAACCCACGACCCTGAAATCAAGAGTTGCACGCTCCTCCAACTGAGCCAGCCAGGCACCCCTGTAGCAACTCACATGCACTCTGTAGCAAAGCCAATACATCCATCCTGATTTCCTTTCCTTTCTTTTTTGGGCAAATATCACTTTGAAATAACTTAAATGGGTTTTGGGGGGGTCACCTTTTTATCCCATGACCCACAAATTAGTCAACAATGCCCAAGGGAATAAAAGTATTTAAAATTAGCACTGTGAATCTACTCCAAAATAAGGGACACCTAAACCTTAAACAAATTCCACAAAACTCAATTCTTTAAAACAGTATCACCAAAATGAAAAAAAAAATCCTTAAATGTTAGAAATCCTCAAGAGAATATTCACTTATACATTTAGCAGATTTGTAACACTGAATTTGTGTAGCATCTATAAGGCCTATTTTAGCTATATGCAATTCTTCTCTAACCTTTTTTGCCCTTCTTAGGTCAATTAATATTGGATTTTTTTTTGCTTGTTTCATTCTTTTTTTATTTTAATTTTTTTTGTTTCATTCTTTAGACAAATTTCCAAAGCTTGCAAACTCTCTCCCCATTCTCACCATAACAGGACTGTTCTAGCAGTGTTTTCAGGTTGATACATCAAAGTATTCCAGAAAATTAAACTGTAGAGCTGCCATTCCACACTGCTTTATCAAACACTTAAACATAACAGCAGGACGACCAGGTACTCGGACTTTGAAGCTGTCTCACCTCATCAGTTTCAGCACCAATAAACAGACGTTAGTTACTTATATAGTGTGTTCTGAGGATACATTTCTCCCTCACCCCACTGTTTGGAATCCACCCGCTTAGCTAAGAAGTTATGTTTGGCTTTAATATAGTACATGTCGGGAGCGGTCCCGCGGTGTGAGGCAAGGTTCCAAGTTGAGCCAAAGCTCCTTGTCGTCCCTAGCCAACCCGCAGTCCTGCGGTGCGAGGCAGGGTTCCAAGTTGAGCTAAAGCTCCCTGTTGTCCCTGGCCAACCCGCAGTCCTGCGGTGCGAGGCAGGGTTCCAGGTTGAGAAAGGCTCCTTGTCATGCCTGGCCAACCCGCTGGGACTGCACCTAGCTCTTCCCCCTTATCGAAGTAAAAGTACATATTTGCTTCTCCTTTAAAATATTATTGGGACAAGTTCCCATAAAGTGAGCAAGGAAGTGGCTTGACATATGACTGCTTTGGTAGTCATTACTTAATGAACAAACCTCATTGTTTATTCTAAATGTGGCATTCATGCTCTACTGCTTAAGAACAAGTGACAGGAATTTGCGGTGTTCTAGCTATTGTTAGTTTTAAAGACAATGTATGTTCGTCCATGAGATGTATTTCTCCTTAGAGAAATAGGTCACCTGCTTATAGAGGCTATATAAACTATACATGTAAAAATAAAGCTTGTCCATTGTGGCCATCAGCCGCATGGAACCTCCTATCCCATGAACTTTTAGTTTCTTGTTTATTTCTCATCCCCTTGCCCTCGGTTCCTGAATCCGGACCTTCTTGCGCCGGCCGCGACAAGTGGCGCCCGAACAGGGACACGAGACAGAGTGAAAGAAGAAGTGTTTACATTACAGGTAAGGGGATCACGGCGGCTCCGTGAACGATAGGAGTAAAATAATCATGGGACAAAGGCAATCTGTAGAACACGGGTATTTTTTAAAAGTTCTACAGGCTCTTCTAAGGGAGAAGGGGTTTAAGGTTTCTCATAACTCTTTGGATAAGTTCTTTGATACAGTTAGAATAATATGCCCCAGTGTCCAAATGTTTCAGTTATATCTAATCATAATTGGCCTAAAACTTGGCCCAAGAAAACGGTTGATGTACCTATTCGATGTTTCAGTTATATCTAATCATAATTGGCCTAAAACTTGGCCCAAGAAAACAGTTGATGTACCTATTCGAGGGGTAGGCTTTGCCTCCTCCCCTGAACAAAGTTCTGATTTGCTTACATGGAGAGATTTGACGAATGATTTACAAGGAGTATTTCAGCCCTTTATATTAGATATAGAATTAAATTTATGGGGCAGAGATGTTTTGTCTCAAATGAATCTCTCCCTTTCCAATGATTGGTCTTTTAATCAATTGATACAGCATGGATATCAGCCTGGAAAAGGCTTAGGTAAAAATTTGCAAGGGGACCCAGCCTTTATAGCCCCCATTCCTAATCCGCCCGACAAGGTTTGGGTTTTCCCCAGGGCCATTGAATCCTCCCCATGCATTGCCTCTCAAATGGAAAACTTCCACTCCTATTTGGGTAGATCAATGGCCCTTAGTGAAAGAAAAAAGAGAGGCTGCTGAGATCTTGATACAAGAACAATTAAACCTCGGCCATTTAAAACCCTCTACTAGCCCATGGAACACCCCTATTTTTGTCATTAAAAAGAAGACAGGAAAATGGCGGCTTTTACAAGACCTAAGAGCAGTCAACCAGGTTAATACTTCCCATGGGGACCCTACAACCTGGCCTCCCTTCTCCCTCTGCCATTCCGCTAAATTTTCAGATGTTGGTTCTAGACCTAAAGGATTGTTTCTTTACCATATCTTTAGCCCCTGGTGACTGGGAGCATTTTGCATTTTCTTTGCCCTCTACAAATTTACAAGAACCCTACTATCGATACGAATGGACTGTTTTACCTCAGGGAATGATTAACAGTCCCACCTTATGTCAAGAATACGTAAAAAGAGCTATAATCCCTTTCAGGAAACAATTCCCTGAGGTATATTGTATTCATTATATGGATGACCTATTACTGGCAGCAGAGACCAGTGAACACTTGGCTAACGCCTTTGGGTTCTTTCCCAATGTCTTAGCTCTGCTGGACTTCAAATAGCTCCTGAGAAGGTACAGAGAGAAGCTCCCTTTGAGTATTTAGGATATCTTATTAGTAAACAGAGTATTAGGCCACAGAAAATCGCAGTTAGAACCTCGCAATTAAAAACTTTAAATGACTTCCAAAAATTATTAGGTGATATAAATTGGCTCCGCCCTTCGCTGTCTCTCACCACTTCTCAGTTACAGCCCCTTTTTTCTATTTTAAAAGGGAACTCCTCCCCTTCATCTTTAAGACAGCTTACTCCAGAAGCAGAGGATGCCTTGGCTTTAGTAGCAAATAAAATTTCCTCTGCGCAGCTTCAACAAAGAGATCTGACAGAGAATGTTAACTTAATAATCTTAAAACCTGATACTCTCCCTATGGCAGTGTTGTGGCAAATCCATGGGCCTTTGGAATGGCTACATTTAGCTATGCATGTTTTGCATGTCATCAACCCAACGATTTCCCTTATATCTTTATTAATTGCTAGAGGACGGAAGAGATGCATCCAGTTATTTGGACATGAGCCTCATAGTATTATATGTCCTCTTTTAACCGCCTCAGTGGTAGAGGATGCATATCAAACCTCCTTGGAATGGCAAACATCTATGGCAAATTTTCCTGGTCAATTTCTTTTTCATCTTCCCAATGACAAACTCCTTCAGGGACTCTCCATCATTCCTACTATATTTGTCTCTCCAATTTCGAGTCAACCGATTAAAGATGCTCCCATCATATTTTCGGACGCCAGCAAAGATGGGCACATTGCCATTGTCTATCTGCATAAACAACATAAAAATGTCATTCAATTGTCCTATAAGACAAAATCTGTCCAGAGGGCTGAACTTTATGCTGTCATGAAAACTCTTGAAATCTATCAAGAACCCTTTAATCTCTATTCAGATAGTCAATATGTCGCCAGGATATTACCCATCCTTGCTGATTCTTTCATAAACTCTAATGATGAGGAACTTTCATGCCTCTTTCATAAATTACAGCAGCTGCTCTTAAAAAGAGTTTCACCTATATTTGTTTCTCATATTAGAGCACATTCTGGTTTACCTGGGCCTTTATCCTCAGGAAATGATTTGGCTGACAGATATACTCATTTATATTCTGTCATTGCTAATAAGGATTCTGTCGGTATGGCAATGAAAAGTCACTCTCTTTTCCACCAAAACGCTCGATCCCTACGAAAGCAATTCCATATAACTAGAGAACAAGCTAGGCAAATTGTTAAAAATTGCTCCTTATGTCCCCAATATGTTAACACCCCTTCTTTTGCCATTAATCCGCGGGGCCTTTTGCCCAATGATCTCTGGCAAATGGATGTAACACATTATTCATCTTTTAATAAATTACAATTTGTGCATGTTTCTATTGATACTTATTCTGGTATGATCGTAGCTTCCGCTCATTCTGGTGAAAGTTTTACTGATGTTCAAAATCATCTTTTTCATGCTTTTGCTTACATGGGAATGCCTAAACGATTAAAGACTGATAATGGGAGTGCTTATATATCCCAAGCTTTTAAAACCTTTTGTGAAACATTTCACATTCAGCATACCACAGGCATCCCTTACAACTCTACAGGTCAAGCTATTATTGAAAGAGCTCATCTTACACTTAAAAATACCTTACAAAAACTAAAAAAGGGGGAGATTATGGCAGGAAAAATGAAATATTCCCCCCACATGCACCTAGACTTAGCAATATTCATTTTAAATTTTTTGATTGTGCATGATGATGGATATACACCATCAGAAAAACATTGGGGAAAAAATACTGATCCACCCCTTATGGCAAAGTGGAAGGATCCTATGACAGGACAGTGGAAAGGCCCTGACCCCTTGCTTAGACAGGGTCGAGGATATGCTTGTATCTTCCCACAGGATGAAGAAGCGCCGCGCTGGGTTCCAGCCAAATTTGTTAGAGATATCAAAACTGAGAAGGAAGATGAGTCGGCTGAACTTATGCCCTCCTCGGAGGAAGAGGACTCGTAAGATGAATCTGCCATCATGGAGGCAAATGAGGAAATTAACCTCACAAGCCACAAGTTTGGTAATATCCTCTGGTAAACAACTAATCCCCTTGACTCATTTTCTGGCTTGTCTCAGCCTTCTTATTATCCCTCCCCCTGCTGAAGGAAAATTGTTCTGGGCTTATTTGTCCAGTCCTCCTGTAGCACAGCCAGTAACTTGGGAGGATCCGACCCCTAAAGTTTATATTAATTTCTCTATCATGGGGAACGGGGTCCCTAGTTTTTTCCCTTCTGTACAATCTCCTATAAACTATTCCGGATTGGCCTTTCACCCTCCGATCTGTTTTCAAAAAGAAACTCATCCAAAGAGACTAACACTCTCTTGCTTAGGACCCGTGCCTGTAGGCAGAGTCCTAAATTACTCTACTTAGTCTCCCTTTCATGTAAAAGGTAAAACGCAATGGGCACAAAAGTATACACAGGCCTGTTGGCAGAAGTTGGAAATCATTGGAGATGGAGTTCATGATTCCAATAGTACCCCTATTATTATGAATCAATGTCCTTACGAAGGAAATGCATTGGAAGGAACCTATGCTTTTGATGATTGCCAGATGTATTCACCCAAGATTTTCTCTCCACATGAAGTGGACTTCCCAATATTTGATCTATCTCGATCAGCACGTCATACATCCACCTCCACATTGGGTCCCATCCTAAAACCCCTTCGTTCAACTCCTAGCTACATGCGCATACCCAATGTGGAATTGCAAGAACACACTCGAGCTATCCCGCGATCCATTTTATTGACTAGTACAGGAAAAATACATAGAGATTTATGGAAGCTTTATGCTGCTTTTGACCAAATATATACAAATGATAGCATAAGCTATCCAGAAGCTATTCTCAATCCCACGCTCCGCGTTCGCACATGCGTACCCCCTCCCTTTTTCTTAGTAATAGGAAACGGCCAGGTAACTGTTGAAAAAACCAAAACCCCTACCTTTTATCGAATTCATTGTCCCTTGTGCATATTAACAAATTGCGTACCTATAGATAAGAAGATTGATTTCAACACAAAGTTATTCCTGGTGCAACAACCTCCATATTGGATGATCCCTGTTGATGTGAGAGGACCTTGGTACGCGAACTTTGGCGTGCAGTTAGCTCAAGAATTGGTGAAGAAGCTAAGAAGAACTCGAAGATTTCTTGGACTTTTAATTGCAGGGATGGTGGCTACTATTGCTCTTATTGCCTCCGCTACTGTATCTGTTGTATCTTTGCATGAAAATGCTCAGACTGCTGAACATGTAAATGAACTTGCTAGAAATGTAACTATTGCTCTTGATGCTCAGAAGAGAATCGATGAAAAAATTGAAGCGCAGATTGAAGCTTTAAAAGAAGCCGTTTTATATCTTGGTGATCAATTTGTTGTACTAAAAACTATAACCCAATTGACTTGCCATGACGCTTATAAACATATTTGTGTTACCCCACTCCCTTTTAATGGGTCATGGGAAAATGTACGTATGCATCTACAAGGGGTTTGGAATCACGCTAATATTAGTCTAGATCTCTTAAAATTACAACAAGAAATAGACGCCATTAGCCAAAGTATGTTATATTATGAAGACCCCAGCGATTTAGCCGGTGAGATCTTAAATCCGCTAAATGGTTTTAATCCCTTCAATTCACTGAAACATTCCTTTTGGATATTTTTGGCATTAATAATCGGGTTAATTCTGATGTATGCAATGTTTGCCTGCTTTTGCAAAAAATTCAATAATCAATTAAACTCCTCTAAGGCACAACTTCATTTTTTGCATTTGAAAAATATAGGGGGAAATGTCGGGAGCGGTCCCGCGGCGTGAGGCAAGGTTCCAAGTTGAGCCAAAGCTCCTTGTCGTCCCTAGCCAACCCGCAGTCCTGCGGTGCGAGGCAGGGTTCCAAGTTGAGCTAAAGCTCCCTGTTGTCCCTGGCCAACCCGCAGTCCTGCGGTGCGAGGCAGGGTTCCAGGTTGAGAAAGGCTCCTTGTCATGCCTGGCCAACCCGCTGGGACTGCACCTAGCTCTTCCCCCTTATCGAAGTAAAAGTACATATTTGCTTCTCCTTTAAAATATTATTGGGACAAGTTCCCATAAAGTGAGCAAGGAAGTGGCTTGACATATGACTGCCTTGGTAGTCATTACTTAATGAACAAACCTCATTGTTTATTCTAAATGTGGCATTCATGCTCTACTGCTTAAGAACAAGTGACAGGAATTTGCGGTGTTCTAGCTATTGTTAGTTTTAAAGACAATGTATGTTCGTCCATGAGATGTATTTCTCCTTAGAGAAATAGGTCACCTGCTTATAGAGGCTATATAAACTATACATGTAAAAATAAAGCTTGTCCATTGTGGCCATCAGCCGCATGGAACCTCCTATCCCATGAACTTTTAGTTTCTTGTTTATTTCTCATCCCCTTGCCCTCGGTTCCTGAATCCGGACCTTCTTGCGCCGGCCGCGACAAGTACAATGGAACCTTCTTGTAACTTGCTCCTCTGTGCATTAATTTGAAAATTTCTACAGCCAGCCTCAGCCCCAATATGACTCCACACAGAAGTATTCTCTAAAGAAGATGTTAGAAGGAGTTAAACTTTACTGAAAACACACATATACATATATATATGTACTATATAGGTATATGGATATACCTATCTATATGCTTGCTATATAGATACACACATATATATTTAATTTTGTATACAGAATAGGAGAAGCAACTCATTTCTTCTTTTCCTGTAAGAAATCATATTCTGGGGCACCTGGGTGGCTCAGTGGTTGAGCATCTGCCTTTGGCTCAGGTCATGATCCCAGGGTCCTGGGATCAAGTCCCACATCGGGCTCCCTATGGGGAGCCTGCTTCTCCCTCTGCCTATGTTTCTGCCTTTCTCTCTGTGTCTCATGAATAAATAAATAAAATCTTTAAAGAAAGAGAAAAAAAAGAAAAAAAGAAATCATGTTCCCTCTGGTAATGGGAAATATCCATAAGCTAGAGTTCAAATATCCCATTTTCTACCCACAAAGACCCCCTACAGTCAACTTATTTGCCAATGTTAAAAAAGACAACTGAAACACACCAACTTGAGACTGTCTAGGACAAAAGTGCCCAAGTCCTAAAGCCAGTTGTAGAATTGGCTGCCCTGCCATCTAGGTTTACTGACCTGCACTCTGATTTCAGTCACATCCATGCGTCTTGCAAGTTCCTGTCTGAGGAGAAAAAAACCACAAATGATCAGTATTTGGAGTTGTGGATAAAAGGAAATGTATCGATATACATTTTATCCTTGTTTAAAAATATGTACCCTCCCCGCTATACCCCCCCCCACCAAGGGTGCCTGGGTGGCTCAGTTGGTTAAGCGTCTGCCTACGGCTCAGGTCATGATCCCAGGATCCTGGAATCAAGTCCCTTGGCAAGCTCCCTGCTCAGCGGGGAGTCTGCTTCTCTCTCTGCCCCCCACCCCACTCATGTGTGCTCATGATCTCTCTCACTCTGTGTCTAGTAAATAAATAAAATCTTACAAAAAAAGACCCCCTTCAAGTAAACTTTTCTGTCATTCTCAGCTCCAGCCTTGCTTTATAGATAGTTTCCCCTCAAAATTTAAGGTGTCATCAACAACTCGGTACTCAAGATAAACAATTTTAAAGCACTATTTAAAAAATAATAATTAATGCAAAAAAATCTATGATGAACAAATTATCACAATTTTATTTATTTATTATTATTATTTATTATTTTTTTAAGTAACCTCTATGACCAACATGGTGCCCCTCCCTCTAAATTTTACTTATTTATTTATCTATATATTTATTTTTTTATTTTTAAAGTAGGCTCTATGCCCTATGTGGGGCTTGAAGGCTTGAACTCAAAACCCCAAGATCAGGAATCACATGCTCTTTGGACCGAGCCAGCCAGGTACCTCCCCCCTCGAGATTTTAAATGAAACGATCTAGCATTGCAGTTGCAGGAGAGTACCTTATTCTCCTTACCCTTATTCCAATAAAATTTTATTTACAAAAAGTCACCAACACAGACAATAACTGAAAAAATGTATAAATTAGACTACATCAAAATCAAAAACTTGGGGATCCCTGGGTGGCGCAGTGGTTTGGCGCCTGCCTTTGGCCCAGGGCGCGATCCTGGAGACCCGGGATCGAATCCCACGTCGGGCTCCCGGTGCATGGAGCCTGCTTCTCCCTCTGCCTGTGTCTCTGCCTCTCTCTCTCTCTCTCTCTCTCTCTCTCTCTCTCTCTCTCTGTGACTATCATAAATAAATTAAAAAAATCAAAAACTTTTTTAGATCAAAGTACAATATCAATAGAGTGAAAAGGCAACCCATGCAATGGGAAAAATATTTGCAAATCATATATCTGATAAGGAATTAATATCCAGTGTATATTAAGGACTACAACTCAATAAATAAACATCATCCAGATTAAAAAATAGGCAAAGGACTTGGATAGATGTTTCTCCAAAGATGATATACAAATGGGTGTGAAAGACACTCAACATCAGTAATGAACGTGCATATCAAAACCAGACTAATACCACCTCATACTATTAGAATGAGTACTATCAAAAAACCAAAATAACAAGTGTTGGTGAGGATTTAGAGAAATTAAAACCCTTGTGCACTCTTGGTAGGAATATAAAATAGTATAGCTGCTAAGGAAAACAGTAGAATAGTTGCTCAAAATTAAACACAGAATTGCCATATGATCCAACAATTCCATTTCTGAGTATATACTGAAAAGAATTAAAAACAGGGTCTTGGGAAGATATTTTCATACATATGGTCATAGCAGTATAATCACAATAGCCAAAAGGAGCAACCCAAGTGCTCAATAATGAAAAATGGGTAAATAAAATATGGTATACACATGCAATGGAATATTTTTTTTCATGCAATGGAATATTATTCAGTCTTAACAAGGAAGGAAATTGTAGCATATGCTTCCACACAGAAGAACATTAAAGACTGTATGCTTGGGGAATAGGAGGATGGGCAAAATAGGTGAAGGGGAGAAGATACAGACTTCCAGCTATGAAATAAAGAAGTCACAGGAATTAAAGACACAGCTCAGAGAATGTAGTCAATGATATTGCAATAGGATCATATGATGACAGATGGTAGCTATACCTGTAGTGCACATAGCACAACATATAGAGAAGTTGATTTACTACGTGGTATATTTGTTGTTTTTTTTTAAAGATTTTTTTTTATTTATTCATGAGAGACACACAGAGAGAGAGAGTCAGAGACACAGGTAGAGGGAGAAGCAGGCTCCATGCAGGGAGCCCGATGTGGGACTGGATCCCGGTCTCCAGGATCACACCCTGGGCTGAAGGCGGCGCTAAACCTCTGAGCCACTGGGGCTGCCCCTATGTGGTATATTTGAAACTAATGTAATATTGTTTGGCAACTATACTCAAATAAAAAAATTAGTATTTTATTTATTTGAGAGAGGAAGGGGTGGGGAGAGGGACAAGCAGACTCCATGCTGAGTGCAGAGCCTGATTTGGGGCTTGTTGGAAGCTCAAGTGATTGAGCTACCAAGGGCCCCTAATTTTTTTTTAAAAAAAGATGATACACGGGTGCCTGGGTGGCTCAGTTGGTTGAGTATCTGTCTTCGGCTCAGGTTATGATGGCAGGGTCCTGAGATAGAGCCCCGAGTCGGGCTCCCTGATCAGCAGGGGAGTCTGCTTCTCCTTCTTCCTCTTCCTCTGCCCCTGCTGGTGTTTGCTCTCTCTCACTTACTCTCTCAAATAAATAAATAAAATATTATAAAAACAAAAAATTCCAGTTATAAAATAAATAAGTCATGGAAATGAAAATACAACATAGGGAATAATACTGGAATAATGTTCTATGGTGATAGACGGTGACTACGCTTATCAGGGTGAGCACTGAGTAACGTATAAAATTGTCGAATCATTATGTTGTACACTTGAAACTAATACAACACTGTATGTTTTAATTATACTTCAAAAAAATCAAAAGCCTTATAAAAAATTAAAGGACTGTAGGCCGTGTAAAATAAACCAGTGACAAAAAGGCAAATACTGCCTAATTCAACTAGTATGAGGTGCTTAGTGTAGTCAAAATCATAGCCAGAAAGTAGAATAGTGGCTACCCAGGACTGAGGGGTGAGGTGGGTATGGGTGTCACTGTGTAATGGTAATAGTTTCAGGTTTGCAATATAAAAAGATTTCTGGAAATAGATGGTGGTGATAGTTGCATGATAAGAAGTACTTTATACCACCGAACTGTACACTTTAAAATGGTAAAGACATTACATTTTATGTTAAATGTATTTTACCAAAATAGATAAATCAGGAAAAAAATTAATAAATTAGTCTTAATAAAGAATAAAATGGGTCAGACTTGAATATGCACATTAAAAGATGCTCAACAGGGCAGCCCGAGTGGCTCAGTGGTTTAGTGCCTGCTTTCAGCCCTGGGTGTGATCCTGGAGTCCCGGGATTGAGTCCCACATCGGGCTCCCTGCATGGAGCCTGCTTCTCCCTCTGCCTGTGTCTGTGCCTCTCTCTCTCTCACTGTGTCTCTCATGAATAAATAAACAAACAATAAATAAAATCTTTCAAAAAAAGAAAAATGCAAATCAAAACCATAATGAGATATCACTTTTCACATCCTTTGAGATGGCTAACAAAAAACGGGCACCTCACTGGCTCAGTCAGTGGGGCATGAAACTTTTTTTTCCCCCCGGGAGAGAGCACCAGCAGGGGTAAGGGGAAAGGGAGGGGGAGAGAGAAAATCTTTTTCTTTTTTAAAAGATTTTATTTATTTATTCATGAGAGACATAGGAAGAGAGGCAGAGACACAGGCAGAGGGAGAAGAAGCAGGCTCCATGCAAGGAGCCCGATGCAGGACTTGATCCTGGGGAATCCTGGATCACGCACTGAGCCAAAGGCAGTCGCCCAATCACTGAGCCACCCAGGCATCCCAAGAGAGAAAAAAATTTTTTTTTCCAAGAGAGAAAATCTTAAGTAGGTTCCATACTCAGCATCCCAGCCACTCAGGCACCCCAAGCGTGCAACTCTTGATCTTGGGGTTGTGAGTTCAAGACCCACCTTGGATCTAGAGAAAACTTAAGAATAAAACATTAAAACAGCCAGAAAATAACAAGTGTTGGGGTGCCTGCATGGCTCAGTCAGTTTAGCATTCCAACTGTTGATTTTGGCTCAGGTCATGATCTCAGGGTCAGGAGATGAAGGCACGCATCAGGCTCCTGGAGACTGTAAAGCCTGCTTAAGATTCTCTCTCCCTCCTTCTGCCTCTCCCACTGTTTGTGCACCCACACTCTCTCACACACACACAAAAGAAGAAAAAAGAAAAAGCAAATAACAAGTGTTAACAAGAACGTGAAGAAATTAAAATAAATCCTTGTGGACTGCTAGTTAGAATGCAAAATGGTGCAGCCACTATGGAACACAGAACAGCTACACAAAAAATTAAAAACAGGATTACCATATGATCCAGTAACTCCACTTCTGGGTATATACCCAAAATAATTGAAAACAGTGACTCTAAGTTCATAGCAGTATTATTCACAATAACCAAACTGAAGTGCCCAATAATAAATGAATAAACAAAATATGGTATTTACAAACAATGGAAAATTACTCAGCCCTAAAAAGGAAGGAAATTCTGAGACATGCTACATCATGGATGAACCCTGGGGACATCATACTAAGTGAAATATACCAGGCATAAAAAGAAAAGCGCTGTGTAATTCTTAAATTACTTAAATGAGGCACTTACTATAGTCAAATTCATTAAAACACAAAGTAAAAAAGGCGACTGCCAGGGGCAGGGGGAAATGGGGGAATAGTGAGTTGTTCACTGTGCAATCCTTTCAGTTTTGCAAGGTCAAAGGAGTTCTGGAGATTAGTTATACAAAAATATAAATGTACTTAATACTACTGAACTGTACACATAAAAATGGTTAAGATCACAAATTTAATCTTTATATTTTACCACAATTTATTGTTTCTAAAACTTTTTTAAATAATCTCTAAGCCAAAAGTAGGGCTCAAACTCACAACTCCAAGACCAAGAGCTGCACGTTCCTCTGGCTGAGCAAGGCAGGCACCCCTATTTTACTTGGTTTTTTTTAAGGCTTTTTATTTTTTTAAAGATTTTATTTTGGGCAGCGGGGTGGCTCAGCGGTTTAGTGTGGCCTCCAGGGCCTGATCCTAGAGGCCTGGGATCGGGTCCCGCATCAGGCTCCCTGCACGGAGGCTGCTTCTCCCTCTCTCTCTCTACTCTCTGTGTCTCTCATGAATAAATATTTGGGTTTTTTTAAAGATTTTATTTATTAACGAGAGACACAGGCAGAGGGAGAAGCAGGCTCCAGGGAGCCCGACATCAGACTTGATCCAGAGCTGCAGGATCACGCCCTGAGCCAAAGGCAGATGCCCAACCTCTGAGCTACTCAGGTGTTCCTTATTTATTTATTTATTTATTTATTTATTTATTTATTTATCTATTTATTTATTTGATAGCGAGAGCACGGGAGAGGGGCAGGCAGAGGGAGAGGGAGAAGCAGGCTCCCTGCTGAGCAGAAAGCCCTGCAAGCCAGCTCAGGGCTCTATCCCAGCCCCCCCCCCCCAAGGCAGCTGCTTAACCATCTGAGCCACCCAGATGCCCCTAAAGTCTTTAAGTTTATTTATTTAAGTAATCTCTGTACCCAAGTGGGGCTCAAACTCACGACCCCATAGATCAAGAGCTGCACCCTCCTCTGACTGAGCCAGTCAGGCACCATAGTTTACCACAAAATTTCTTTAAAAAAAGAAGGGAGAGAGAGAGAGAGAGGCAGAGACATGGGCAGAGGGAGAAGCAGGTTCCCGTGGGACTTGGTCCCCGAACCGGGATCACGCCCCAGCGGAAGGCAGACGCTCAACCATGGAGCCACCCAGGTGTCGCTATGACACATTTTTAAAGTTTTTTACGTTTATTTTTTAAAAGATTTTATTTATTTATTCATGAGAGACTCAGACTGAGAGAGAGGCAGAGACACAGGCAGAGGGAGAAGCGGGCTCCACGCAGGGAGCCCAATGCGGGACGCGATCCCAGGACCCCGGGATCACTCCCTGGGCTGAAGGCGGCGCTAAACCGCTGAGTCACCCGGGCTGCCCCTTTACGTTTATTTATTTAAAGAATCTCTACAGACAAGTGAGGCTCAAACTCACGACCCCCGCGCCACACCGCAGATCAAGAGCTACACGCTCCTCTAGCTGAGCCAACCAGGCGCCTCTATTTTACCACAAGTTTTTTTTTTAAGTCTTTTTTTTAAAAAGCTTATTTAAGTAATCTCTGCTCGAACTCATGACCACCGCCAACGATCAAGAGTCCGGGCTCTCTCAACTGAGCCAGCCCCGGTGCCCCTACCACAATTTAAAAAACAAAAACAAAAAGACTACCCACCACAGTTTCCAGACTTGTTTCACGTAATTACTGTATAAAAATATTTACCTTGATGCACAGAAGGCATTCTCCTTCCCTCAACCCTTGGCCCTTTTGGTTTCGACAGGAAAGAAGGAGGCTGAGGGGTGGGGGGAGAACCAAAGACACCTAGACATGAGCCCACGGTCCCAGGAGAACTGGGCACCTCCTGGAACAAGCCTCTTACCTTGTGAGCACATCTGGATATTGAGTGTGCTGGAAGGCACTTTCCAGCTCCTGAACCTGCACCTGCGTGAACTTATTCCGCTGGGCTCGCCGTCTCCTTCGGGGCTGGGGAGCCCTAGCAGCCACCGCCTGGGGTAGCTCTTCAGGCGCCAGCTGCCCCAGCTCCTGGATGCCACCGCCGACCTCGTGGATCCCTTCACCTTCATGGTTCACGATGCCCTCGAGGTTGAAGTCGCCTTCGCGGTTGATGTTGCCTTCGAGGTTGAAGTCGCCTTCGCGGTTGAAGTCGCCTTCGAGGTTGATGTCGCCTTCACGGCTGATGTCGCCTTCGATGTTGAAGTTGCCTTCACGGTTGATGTCGCCTTCGAGGTTGATGTCGCCTTCGCGGTTGATGTTGCCTTCGAGGCTGAAGTTGCCTTCGCGGTTGATGTCGCCTTCGAGGTTGAAGTTGTCTTGGAGGTTGAAGTCGTCTTCGAGGTTGAAGTCGTATTCGAGGTTGAAATTGTCTTCGAGGTTGAAGTTGTCTTCGAGGTTGAAGTTGTCTTCAAAGTTGATGCCTAGGTTCATATCGCCGTGGAAGAAGTTGATGGCATCTTCCAGGTTGATGTCCCTTTCGAGGTTGCCGCCATCGTCGTGGTACATGAATTTGTCCACAAGGCCTGGATTTCCTTCATCGATGTGGCTGCCTTCAGCTTCTGGTGCTGAACCCTGCACAGATTCAGATCTTACTTGCACTTGATTCATTCCCAGCCAGTAGTTGCTGGGGTCATAGTAGTCACCCGGGTCATAGTAACTACCTCTGGGCAGAGGCTCCATGGCTGTGGCGCTGTGGAAGACCAGCGCTTCCACAAACCCTCCTCTGTGGTTGAGAACAGAGGTGCAGTCTGAGGCGGAAGCTCCTCCTCTTTTGCGCCAGGGGATTTGCGGCAAGTTCTACCCCCACGCACACCCCCTTAGACGACTGCTACTGGCTGTCCTTTTCCCGCCAATTGCAGTGGGTGGGGCTTGCTTACGCGTGCAAGTGGCTGGGGTGTGGCCAAAAAATAGAGGCATGATGGGAAAGGTGGGGGCTGGTGGGGGGTTTGGCTGTGTGGAGAAGGGGAGGATCTGATTTACAGTTCAGTTTGCCACGCCCCACTTGACCAGAGTGCATATTCTGTGGAAAAGGCTATACTGGATTCAAACTGATCTGGGGGCAATGGCTGGGGTAGAGGTTTGCGGGAAGAGATGAGGGCTATAGACTTCACACTATCTACCGAGCTCTTCTGGAAAAGTTTGGAGAAAGGCTCACCGTTCAGCCCTTTATGTTTGGCAGGCGGTGCACACCACATTCTAGTAATAAAATTGTTAACTGAGTATCTGCAAGGATACAGAAAGCACACCCCACCATGTTCCCAAGGGTACCCAGGGTGGGATCCTGGAGCTGGGTTTGCAAAGCTTTCTGGGTAAGATACACTCCACAAGAAATCCGAGGTGCCCCTTGAAAAAGTTCAAGTACTCCAGATTTTTAGTGATGAAACCACACCAGAGTGCAAGTTTAAACCCTCCAGTGCTTAGTGCACCCAAATACTGTTGCATTTTACTAGCGCTGCACACCACAGATTATGTATCTTCTGTAGCGTTCCACTCCAGCATCTGTGGTCCCCGATACAACCTCAGCTGGTTCCTGTGCTGGGCTCGGGGCATGAACCCAGGTGAATTTCGACCTTTCCCCCTACGGCTCCCTCTACCCCTCTCTCCTCTCCACTTCCTTTACGAAAATTACCAACCTGATATTTTGAACAGGAAAAAATAAAATTCTACTTATTGTCAAATAAAAGAGATGCAGGACGGTGCAGGGTAGGAAAAATTTTGCCCTCTAGCTTTCAAAGTCTTCTAGCTAGTCTAAGAATTAAATTGAGGGCAGCCCTCGTGGCTCACCGATCTAGCGCCGCCTTCAGCCCAGGGCGTGATTCCGAAGCCCTGGAATTCAGTCCCGTATCAGGCTCCCTGCATGGAGCCTGCTTCTCCCTCTGCCTGTGTCTCTGCCTCTCTATCTCTCTCTCTGAGTCGCTCATGAATAAGTAAATAAAATCTTTAAAATAAAAGATTTTTTAAAAAGAAAAAAAAATATTTTATTTGGGGCACCTGGGTGGCTCAGTGGTTGACTGTCTCCCTTTGGCTCAGGACCTAGGATAGAGTCCTATATCCGGCTCCTTGAAGGGAGCCTACTTCTCCCTCTGCCTATGTCTCTGCCTCTCATGAATAAATAAATAAAATCTTTTAAAAAATAAAAAAAAAGATTTTATTTATTTGAGAGAGTCAGCACAAGCAAGGTGAAGGGCAACATGAGGCTCATCCTCGGACCCCAGAATTATGACCTGAGCCGAAAACAGGTGCCAAACCGTTGAGCCACCCAGGCTGCCCTTAAAAAATTAATCTTAGGGGATCCCTGGGTGGTGCAGCGGTTTAGCGCCTCCCTTTGGCCCAGGGCGCGATCCTGGAGACCCGGGATCGAATCCCACGTCGGGTTCCTGGTGCATGGAGCCTGCTTCTCCCTCTGCCTGTGTCTCTGCCTCTCTCTCTCTCTGTGTGCCTATCATAAATAAATAAAAATTTAAAAAAAATTAATCTTAAAAAAGTTATTTTTTAAAAGATTTTATTTATTCAGAGAGAGAGAGAGAGGCAGAGACACAGGCAGAAGGAGAAGCAGGCTCCATGCAGGGAGCCCGACGTGGGACTCGATCCCGGGTCCCCAGGATCACACCCAGGGCTGCAGGCGCCGCTAAACTACTGCGCCACCAGGGCTGCCCCTAAAAATTATCTATCTATCTATCTATCTATCTATTTATTTATTTATTTATTTATAATTCTTTTTAAAAAAATCAAGCAGGGAAATGCTAGCCTGATGCTACCTAGGTTTTTGTAAACAGTGTTTGACTAAAATCATGGTGAGAAGAATAAGGAGTGGCCAGTTGTGTAAGTGAAGGATCGGATTCCGTCTCTCTTTAAAATTTTGATAATTTGGACCCCTGGGTGGCTCAGTGGTTGAGCATCCACCTTTGGTACAGGTCATAATCCCGGGGTCCTGGGATCGAGTCCCACATCAGGCTCCTTGGGGGGAGCCTGCTTCTCCCTCATACTAAGTCTCTGCCTCTCTCTCTCTCTGTGTGCCTCATGAATAAATAAACAAAATCTTTAAAAATAATAAAAATAAAATTTTATCGATAATTTGTTCATAATAATTAATTTTTATTTTAAAAAAACTGTGCAGAAGGTATCATTTACCAGGAATCCTGAGGTTTTGCGATGCATGGGTGGCTCAGCGGTTAAGGGTCTGCCTTTGGCTCAGGGCGTGATCCTGGAGACCCGAGATTGAGTCCCACATCGGGCTCCCTGCAGGGAGCCTGCTTCTCCCTCTGCCTGTGTCTCTGCCTCTCATTAACAAATGAATAAAATATTTTTAAAAACCCTTAGTGTGGAGAAAAAAACCATCCCTAAAGCAAGGCCTCAATCTGAATATTACAAAACAATGTACCGGGAGAGAGTGTGGTGGAATAGGTAAGTCTCTCTGTCTGTCTGTATTTTTTTAAAAGGGTTTTCCTTCTTTTTTTTTAAGATTTTATTTATTTATTCATGAGAGACACAGAGACAGAGAGAGAGGCAGAGACACAGGCAGAGGGAGAAAAGCCGACTCCATGCAGGGAGCCCGATGTGGGACTCGATCCCGCGACCCCAGGATCAGGCCCTGGGCAGAAGGCTGCGCTAAGCCACCGGGGCTGCCCTGTACGTATGTATTTAAAAGTAAACTCAACCCCACAACACGGAGCTCAAGCTCACCAACCCCGAGATCGAGAGTCACATGCTCTACCGACAGCCACCTAGGTGCCCCTGGAATAGGTAATCATTTATTTATTTATTTTAAAGATTTATTTATTTATTTGAGAGAGAGTGAGAGAGCCAGAGAGGGAGAGAGCAGAGGGAGGGGCAAATGAAAAGAATCTCAAGCGGACTCCACCCTGAGCCGGATGCAGGGCTTGATGTCACAACTCTGAGATCATGACCTGAGCTGAAATCAGGAGTCAGAGGCTCAACTGACTGAGCCACCCAGGCACCCCACTGGGAATAGGTATTTAAAAGCATGCATGAACTGAAGATGATGAATTTCATTTCCTCTAGCTCCAAATACTGAATATTTGTGGGTTGCTCACCTCAGAAAGGAGCTTGCAAGATGCATGCAAGTGACTGAAGACAGCACCCAGGCTAATCTATCTGAAAAAACAAACAAACAAAAAAACAAACAAACAACTATTTGGTGAGAAATAATTAGCCATGTTTGGAAAATAACTTTTTTCTTTTGTTTTTTTTTTTAAGATTTTATTTTTAGGAGCACCTGGGTGGCTCAGTGGTTGAGCATCTGCCTTTAGCTCAGGTGGTGGTCCTGGGGACCTGGAATCAATTCCCACATCTGGCTCCCTGCAGGGAGCCTGCTTCTCCCTCTGCCTATGTCTCTGCCTCTCTCTCATTTATTTATTTATGCACGAGAGACACAGGAAGCGAGGCAGAGGGAGAAGGAGACTCCATGCAGGGAGCCCGATGCGGGACTCGATCCCAGGACTCCGGGATCATGGCCTGAGCATGAAGGCAGACACCTAACCGCTGAGCCACCCAGGCGTCCCAATAAATAAAAATCTTCAAAAGAATTCACTACTATTATTGCATAAAATATCCTATCACCACAGTATAACCTATGGCATAAGTGGCATAACGGAAAGAGGCATGATTAGAAATTACACATTCTCGTTCTTTTAGAGACACTGGAATATCTCCGGATGAAAACCATGTGATGTCTTGATTTGCATCAAAATAATCCAGGGGCATATGCAAGTGTGTTGAATTGGTGAGGGTATTGATGAAACAAGGCTGGTTCTGAATAATTGTTGAAACTGAGAGATGAATACATAAGGTTGGGATTCTCTCTGCTTTTATGTATGCCTGACATTTCACGTAATGAAAAACATGCTTTGGGACTGTTTTTTTTTTTTAAGTTTTATTTATTTAAGTGTTCTCTCCAGCCAACGTGGGGCTTGAACTCACAACCCTGATATCAAAGAGTCCCATGCTTTTCTGACCGAGCCAGCCAGGCACCCCTAAAAAAACATGTTCTGTTTTCTTTTTAAAATTTTCAAAGATTTATTTGTTCATTTGAGAGAGAGCGAGAGAAAGAGAACATGAGTGGAAGGAGGGGCAGAGGAGAGGGAGAGAGAGAGAATCCCAAGCCGACTGTGCGCTGAGCTCCGAGCCCAATCTCACGATCCTGAGTTCATGCCCGGAGCCAAAACCAAGAGTCGGATGCTCGACAGTTCAACTGAGCCACCCAGGCGCCTCTAAACAACATGTTCTTTAATGGCTGGAGTTACCAACTCAAATGCCGATGAAGGCAGGTAACATAACAGCAAGGAGAGTGGAGACGGGCAAACTGAGGAAGAACACATCTCTTTCAAAGGGGACGGCCTGTACTCAGACCCAGCTCACTGTGCTGCAGGGGAATGTTGGGCCAAGACGGCCAGATTTTCCGGGTTTTTTTCAAGATTGGCCCCAACTCCAAACATCTATATGAAACCTTCCATTTCTTCAACTGTTGTAACTAACTGAAATAGGTCTTATTGAAAAGTGTGCCAGCTATCTAAAAGAGATCTGTGGACTAGATTCAGGCTGCAGCTGCCAGGTTGCAACCTTTCCAGGATAAGCTAACATTAAACAATTTTCATTGTCTGGAGCAGAAGAACGTCATCGAAGAAAGTCAGAAGGAAAGAAACCAACCAACCAACCAACACCTGGGGTGCCCGGGTGGCTCAGTCGGTTGCATCTGACTCTTGGTTTTGGCTCAGGTCAGGATCTCGGGGTCATGAGACGGAGCCCCAAGTCAGGCTCTTTAATCAGCAGAGTCTGCTTGAAATTCTCTCTCTCGGAGGAGGGGCAAGATGGCGGAAGAGTAGGGTCCCCAAGTCACCTGTCCCCACCAAATTACCTAGATAACCTTCAAATCATCCTGAAAATCTACGAATTCGGCCTGAGATGTAAAGAGAGACCAGCTGGAACGCTACAGTGAGAAGAGTTCGCGCTTCTATCAAGGTAGGAAGACGGGGAAAAAGAAATAAAGAAACAAAAGGCCTCCGAGGGGAGGGGCCCCGCGAGGAGCCGGGCTGAGGCCGGGGCGAGTGTCCCCAGGACAGGAGAGCCCCGTCCCGGAGGAGCAGGAGCTGCACCAACCTTCCCGGGCGGAAAGGGGCTCGCAGGGAGTTGGAGCAGGACCCAGGAGGGCGGGGATGCCCTCGGGCTCCCTGGGACC